CTTTATGAGTGTTTTTTATGCTCGTATGTATCAGAGTATGGAAAAGTAGCCTCAGCAAATAAGACTCTGAATCAAATGGAAATAAAAATAAAGTAAAACAAAATAAAATAATAGTAAAATACCATGGCTCCTCCCTACTCCACTGTTCATGCAGTCTAGGTGAACAGTCTTTACCAGACCACCAGAAGTCACGAGTACCTGGTTAGAGCAAGCAGCTCAAAGGTGAAGCTGTGCACAGAGCATCCTGTGTTCTGACATCCTGGCAGATCTGGAGTGACACAGAGGATGGCACAGAATTATGCTCTCTGGGTCATACAAGTTAACCCAAAAAGGTTGTTAGCATTTGACAAGGTCACCATGAGCTGCACAGGGTCAGCAGAAGGTGTGAGGGTAAGAGTACAGTCAACGTCCTGCCCAGGGCTCCCTTGGGCACTGCTGTGGGTGGATATACAGCCATTCTCCCCACAGGGGACAGAGGCACTGATCACTACCCCAACAGGTGTAGCTCCAAATATCCTGTCAGGGAAACTTCAAACCGTATTGCTGGGACCTGATTATGATCACAAAGAGATCACTGAGCATCCTTCCAGCCCACTCAAGAAGCCTTCAGCTGGATGTGCATATAATTTAGTTCCTTCCAGTTTAAAACCTATTTAAAACCTGTGTTAGCCACAACAGGGTCCTGGAAAGGCACCCACTGCCAGAAGACACTGGACATGCAGGTTTTGCCCGAGAAAAAAGGACACAAGAGGCAGCTGGCTGATAAAAACTGCAAGGCAAGGTATGCAGGCTGGCAGCACAGGTGGGCTCACACCCAGCTCCACAACTGAACCAAACAAAAACAGTTGGTAAGCCCCTGGCCTGGACTTCAAAGCAAAGACAAGACCTGATCAGGGATGTTATCTCATGTCTGAGCACAGATAGTAACATAGAAGGAGAGCTGAAACGCACATCTAACCTCATCCCACAGCACTGACTCAATGGCCATGTGAGCCAGCTCCCTGCCTGCTCCATGCCATGGCTGTATGGCTTTACCAACAGGCTCTCTGGGAGGGCCCACTGGGCATCTGACTCCTCTCCTGCTCTGAGGGAGACTAGCCAGCACACCAGCTGAGCCACTTGGCTGGCCAGCCAGGATAGAGACCCTTTCTGGGTGACATGTCCTGGCTTTGCACCACCCTCCCAGTGAAGTTCATTCCTAACTTTGCAAACTCTGACTTGTGGCCATCAGCCCTTGTTTACTCATCTGATACTGCCAGGAGGAGATTGGCTCTAATCCCCTTCCAGAGCCTCCAGCCATTATCAGCTCATCCTTTTACTTCTTCCTTCCAGGACTAAAGTCCATCTCCCTTACAGGCTACAAGAATAGGTCCTGTGCTCTCCACCAGACCAAATAAAGTTTTCCAACATCTGTCTTCAACCAAGAGAACTGAAAGAGGACATAGTTTCAGGTGAGGACTCAGTAGCACCAAGCAGAAGAGAAAAAGTAGTCCTGGACATGCTTTCCACTGTAAGTTCGTGTTTATGTGGGGTTCCCTGTAACCCCTTCCTGCAGGGCTGCTAGTCCACTAGTAGGTTTTCCTAGTTCTAGTGATACCTCATAGAGTAACATGTAAGGTGATGTCACCATCACCTGTATGATTCTTGGAAAGGGTAATTTTTCTCAGGCAGATAATTAATTAATTAAACGTCAGTCTCTTACTATCCAGGTCTTTTACAGTCCTGGCCAACATCTGAGCAGATGGTGAAGGAAGGAGGATGACCCACATCCTGCAGGCACCTCAGCAGGGCTGATTGAAGGCCAGCCCTTCCCTTCGCCTTCCCTCTCCTCTCCTTTTTTCCATCCTTCTGCTCCTATCTGAATGCTGGACATCTTGGCACAGCCCACTGTGTGTGACAGTTTCTTATATGCTCCAAGACCCAGCAGGCTGCCAATACCCCTGTACCCTGGACACAGGGTACAGAGGTAGATGGAATAGTAGAGGGGGATGCAGGGATGCACAGTGGAGGTGGGGAAAGAGCCCTGCCAAGTGATGCACTGGAAGGGGGAGTCATTGTGAAAGGGAATGACTTTGACACTGGCCAAGCTGCACTCAAGTCACAGTTCATAAGACATATGCTGTGGGAAGCAGCATGTGATTCATTCTGAAGCTTCTCTACTGCAACTGCATGAGGTTTATACACCCCTGCAAGATGGCAGACAGCACCATGCAGCCTTGATCTGCAAATCTAAATGCCACCCACCTGTCATCATTAGTGTTCACTAGATGGGTTAGGCAAAAGCTATGCTGTCCAGTCTGGACTAATGTTCTCTCTGGCTTTTTTTCAGCTGGATGTGTAAAAGCATGTTCACTTCATATCCAAGACTCTTGGAAGTTTTGCACAGCAACTTCTTTTTCCTTGACTGCCCCATTTTCCACCTCCAGCAGATGTAATGATGGCACATATAAATGATAGATTAAATGTTCACTGGTTCCCCAATACATCTGAGAGCACTAGGATTGGTGATGCCATAAAGCTACAACAAAGTACTTCCTATTACAGGAGCTGAAAGATGTCCATCAGTTTTCCACCTCTGGTTACATGTTGGTGTGGCTCTAACCCCTGTGTTAGTCCTGAGAAAGAATTGGTGAGCTGCAAGGCCAACATTTAGTGTCTGCACCAAACTTCAGTTCACTCACAGTTGAAGCTGGGCAGACACCAGCCCATGTGCTGCCTATAAGCAAAGCAGCATAAGCTGTGTTTGCTGGTGGTGAAAACAACATTAAATGCAGGTTGTAAGGAGAGGCCACGTACACAGACCTGGTCCAGGTTACCCATGTTTGACAACTGCAAATTGGAATGAGAATGTGTCTTTTCAAAATCCTGTTAAAACATTCACCTTTGAGACTTTCAGCAAAAAGACAAGACAGGAATGTTACAGGGTCAAATGCCATGTGTTTGCTCGTTCTTTCTTAAGACAAACCTTCATTGATTGACTGTGGAAAGGGTAAGAGCTGAGCACACCTGATGCAGGAGTCCCTCTGCTACCGTTGTAACACAAAGCTTCTCAGCAGAGACTAATTACAACAGACAAAGCTCTGCCAAATATTCTCTGTTCTCTGCCTGCTGCACACCGCCAGAAACCAGTCTGAGGAGGTGCTGGTTCCTTACCACTTTTAGAGTCAGGACCCTCCTCAGGTAGCAGAACTAGCAGTCATGTGGTGGGATTTTGAAGGAGTGAAAAACATGCATAGCTGAGAGCACACTGTGAGCTTGACAGCCAATGTAAATGACAGCTACAGGGAGCCTCTCCACAACATGGGATCCTCTAGAAATGGGGGCCTAAATGTGGGATAAGCTTTCACTCACAGATGAGAAACCCAAACAGGGCTCTGGTCAGTATATCCAGCTGTGTACAGGCAGAGGCAGCTACAAGGTAAGGATGTGCAGTTGGTGACCATTACTAGAGGGTCTCTGGAACTTCAACAAGGCACACCATGCCAGCTTTCTGAGGAGCTCTACTTGTGATGAGAACAAGTCAGGTCCACCCATGCTGGCCAGCCTACCAGCTGTAAGTGCCTGAGCAAGGCACTGATTCAGCCAGACTGCTCACATGAGCAAAGATTAGTCATGTACAGGCTGCAGCACCAGTATTCCAGGGCCCCAGTGACTCTTTGTCAACTCAGGAGTCTCATCCTGCAATTAACACCACTCCATCCCCTGATGCCATCATATGACCCAGAAGTCAAGGGAATCTCTGACCTGTCATTGCAGGGGTTGTAGACAAGCTTTGCAAGGACATTCAGTCTTACCAAGGTTTCTTTTTTGCTCTTAGCAAAGATCAGAGAGCACATCACTCCTGCTGCTGCCCCCAAAATAGGAAGAGCTCAGAGAGCTAATGCCAGGTTTAGGTGATTGACTACACAAAGAGACCTAAAACCCACATTCAGTAATATCGTGTCCAGAACCCTGCCAATCACACACCACTTCTTGGCAATCCTGAGCCAGCCAGTTCTGCCTACATGCTTGTGCATGTACACAGTCACAGTCTGCACATCTGCAGTCCCTAGCCCATTATGCCCAAGCTCACCAGCAGCAAGGTATCTTTTCTGGATTATATTCCTTCCATTTCCTGCACAGCCAGCAAGATGATTGATTCACAAGGAACTCATACACACTTACCTGCACTTTGTCCCCTGCTTCCCTTCCAAAGCAAATGAACTCACTTCAAGGTGGAGTCTCACATCTGTGCAAGTTGGAAAATTGTATGGAAACAGGGAGAATGAATGGCTTTCTTGTGGCTTGCTCTCAGGCACAGTTTGGTGCCTGAGTAACCCTCAGCTTAGCAGGCCTCCTGACAGTAGATGGCAATTCTCATCCTGTCCTTCACATCTCCTTTCACCAAGATAGTTATGAGAAAAGCTGAGATGATGTAAGCAGTCACCTCCATCCACCCTTCCTGGCTAAAGGAATTTTTACAAGCAGAAGAGCTGTATCCCAGTATCTCAAATATATCTCACATAAAGCAGACCTCTAGGTGAGACTTTCTGGTAGCTGTCCCACAACTGCAGAGTCAAAGCCATCCAACCTGTCACTTGCACGACCGAGCAAATGTGAGGTTTTTGTCTGAGACCAGAGAGTAAAATATCACAGTGACAAGGTGAAGTGTTCACTGTGGCATGGGGATGGTGACATCTCACAGATGTGCTGCAGTGCACTCCCACAGGCAGGGAGGAGGCAGGCTCAGCATGGATCCGGGCAGAAGGGTGTGAGGTGTCCTCCCAGCAGAAAGATGCCTGCTCTTCCATTCCATCCCAACACACATCTGATGCAGTATGAGAGGACTCAAATGTGGTACAATCTCTTGGATAGAGAAAAGACCAAGTGGACATTTTGCTTACAAGGAATTGCCGGCTCTGCCTGGCATCACTCCCTTGGGGAGAAATGGAAACAGGACTTAGGTTACAGGCCCAAACGTTAAGTCTAGTGCACAAGCAAGCATCCCTCCCCCAAAGGTCTTCAATACAACGCATTTATTTTGTTGTGTGGAAGAATTGTACAGTACACATACATTACCAGCAGTTTCAGAGCCCTGAGTTGTCATTCCTACTACCTTCCCTGAATTTCAGAAGAGAGGCAAGATCACTGTCCCCTTCCCCCATTTTACCTGCAAAAACAGGTAAGAAGTCCAAAAACAGAAGCACTTGCTAACAGGACTGGAGATGAACCTTAGGAACTCCCAGTCCACCACTCTCACCATTTGAGCCCTCTTTCCCTGGTGCTGGAAGAGAAAACCCTAGTGACACCTTTCCACAAAGTCTCACTCCTTTAAGAAACCTTCTGCACAGCTAAACAGAAATCAGACTAAGGAGATTGCACAAACTAATATAAACCCCATTGCATTTTAAAGGGACTTATCACCTCTGAGAGTCTGAGAAATTTTGAGGCATTCTAGGTAGGGTTTGGATTCTCTTAAATTCTTTAATATTGTTCAAGAAAGAATTGAAGAGGCATTTGCTTCCAGCACAATCCCACTAGAATCTGAGTGGAATTTAACCTGCACAAATGAGGAAAGAAGGTATCCTTTCCTGTCTTTCCTGGCACAAGGTATCATGCACCCACTTTTCCTAAACCAGAAAACAATAGGGCTCTGGTACCAACTCAACCTCTCTGTGCCACAGAGGAAGCTAATGCTGTAGAAGAAAAGGACAATGCAGTGTGTAATGTGGAGTAAGACCCAAAAATAGACAGAAATAGTCAGAAAGGCAAATGTGCCATGGAAAGCAGAAGGGAGAATGGAGGGAGGGAGCACCTGGGCTTCTCCCACCAGTTCATGTCAGTACGTCAAATGGTGCATCCGTCTCAGGAGAGCAATGACCCAGTTCCCCAGCTGGGACCCCTTCAGCCACAGAAAGAGTTCATATAAGTTGATCTGCCACAGGCTTAGGGTTTCTGTGAGTGAGATCTGGGCCCTCCTGTAAAGCGAGTGACTCTTGCTCCTCTGGTACCTAAAATGAGAGAAACAGCTGCATTAGATCCAGCAGGAAACAGCCCAGGAGGAAGGAGGCCTGTCCTGCATCTTCTGCAGAACTGACCCTCCCCAGATGTGGGCAATATCCCCCATCTGGAGAATGCGCAGAAAGCAGGGATTTCCTCCAGGAAGCAAGGATTTAAGCTGTGCTTCTGAGGAGCTGGGGACCACCTTTCTTAGAATGAATCTGGCAGAAGAGACAGACTGCTCTCTTGAGAACTCAGCTGTCTTCCCATTGTGTGTAGTGATCCTGAGTTATAGCATTCCTCTGCTTCTATGCCCAGCTTCACCTCAGCTCACAGAGACAGGTGCATACTCCTATTGCTTTTCCTGGTAGCACTCTTTTAAGAGTCCAGGAATCCTGACACACAGATTCCAGGAAAAGTATTTTTCCACCTTTTTTAGCAGGGGCTAATTGGGATTCATAGGTCCCTCATCAGCCCAAGAAATAACTGTTATTTCATCTACAAAGAGGAACAATCTGAGACAGAAGTGCATTGATTCATAAGATTCACAGAAGGAAATTACTTGCACAACTCCTGTTTCTGGCTTTTAAACATCAGTCTGATCTTCAGTCAGCCCAATCCTCTCAATCAGGCTGCAGTGAATTTTCAGATCTATGCTACTCACAAATACTGGCCAGTGGTAATGCCTGTAATGGGCAAGAAGCCCCTTCCCCTCCTCTGGGGGGTAAGATCCTAAACCCTTAACCTAAGGCTTCCAACTCTATCCCTGTGTCCAGCCCCAGGGTGACATGTTTGTCCTCTGGAGAGGCTGATGTATGTAAGAACAGCACAGACAGAGGCTGAGACATGTAACTGAGCAGGGGTAGGACCACAGTGAGGGGAAGAGATTCAGAGCTAACAGTAATAGGTCAAGAGTTTAAGTCAGAGCCTTGTCAGGCTCCCTGAGTGGGGCCCTAACAAGCCTTAATGGCCCTGACTAGCCTGGAATAACCCCCAAGCCTCTGTTCATAGGCCCAGGAACTTCAGTTAATCTCAGACCTGCACCTTCAGTTCCTACCTGAGCTACACTGGAAGAATAATGGCCCTCAGCTTATGCCCTGTTGTGAAGGCCCATGGCCTGGACCTCAACTCATATGTTGACCTCTTTGCTTGACCTCAGCCCTGTCTTGTCACCATGGACTTGCTTGACAACCACTAGATCCATCAATCTATGGATTGACTTTCTGATTTGTTCTTAGACCTGCCCCATCATCAGGATTCTGCCTTATCACGTGGACTTTTGATTGGATCTGACCACCATCTCAGGGTCTGTCCTGCAGCTCCTGCTGCTCCCTGTCTGGCCTCTGATGCCTGGGTAAGAGACTCACGTGGAAACAGCTCTGATGCAGCAGCGAGACATGTTGAGAAAGGAGCTGGCACTGGCCCGTGTGTGCAGGGCTGACTCAATCCCCCTTAACAAGTCGTTGGTCTTCAGCAGAAGCAGCATCTGGCGGGGAACATTGTTGAGGAGCTGGGTGATCTGGGGCAAGTAAGCAGCAGCGTTGGACCGGATCTCCATGTCCTGTGGCCAGCCAGGTCATGTGAGGGAGAAAGGAGAGAGAAGGTGAGAGTACATGGGAAATCCAGGTTCAGATGCAGCTGAGATTTGCCAGGGAGAGACAGTGCTTTAACAGACCATGACAGTATGCCAGAAGCTACAGAGCTCTGTCCTGCTTTCCTGCAGACACTGGGCACAGCACCCATAGCACAGATCACTCTTGCCATATCCCATCTACCCCTCGGTGAGATAAGGACCCATCCCCTCACTGGCAGGATTAACAGCCTCTCAGGAGAATAGCCACTCACTGCTGTCTTGGTTCTCAGTCCTAGGTAGCCTGCAGCAACATCTCAATACTGCCCTTGGAGACTTGTCACCTCATCAGCCCCAAAACTGACTGAGTTGCAGGTAGCAGAATTGTTCAGGAAGGTAGAGGCATGCTGCAAAGACAACCAAGCTGCTTGCTCTTCACTGCTCCATGCAACTCATGGCTCTATGCTATATTGATGAAGCCATTTCCAAGGCCTAATTTAGTCCTCTGTCCTCAACACAATTCAGCAGAGGTAAGAAAAACATTATGCAGTTAAGCATCATGTTAATGCAACAGATCAAAAATCATCAAATTGTCATCTGTCTGATCTAGATCTATATCCTGTATGACAGCAGCCAGTAGCAGATAATTAAGGAAAGAGTGTAAGTTCAAGGCAATCCTTCATTTTCTCTGGTTCTCCAGATTCCAACATGTTGCCTATTGAAAGAATCCAGTGATAACTTAGGGACTACAGCCTGAGCCATTTAAGATGAGCTCCTCTCCAAATACAAGCCACCAGAGCATGCAAAACAATCAGCAGTGCCTCTTCATGTTTTTAGATCTGAGAGTTCCCTCACCATCCCAATAAACGTGGCACAGTGTAGCTGGGAGCTGATCCTATAGGCACACCATGTCCCTACCTCTTCCTACAGAGGCCATGACATGAATCCCAAAGATAAGTCCCTGGAACATCTGAAATCTCCAAAATCCAGGAGGACACATATAGGGTGGCAGTAAATAACTTCATAAAAGAAGAAGGCTCCTTTGTGGGAAATGACGGCTCTAAAGCCTTCTCTCTACTGGATGAGGGATGGCCTATATTGCATGATGTGGGACCTCACACTCTTTATGAACTTCAAACTTATTCTAAAGGAACAGACCTACACAAACTGAGTGTGCAGGTCATAATGGTCAGAGATGTACACAGCTCACACCACCATGGTTGCTGCTGACAAACAAATCTTTGTGTCCTCCTGCCTCCATCACTGACCAGATACATAAGGCTTCAGCAAGAAGATGCTTAGCCCTCCTAAATGTTGTTTTGTTCCATTGTTTGTTGGCAGAAAATTCCTCCCTGATTATCTCTTATCCCTTTCCTCAGCCAGCATCATTGCAGAGCTTACATTATTTTCCAGACATAGGCTTTCTTTTCTATTTCTTTTGCTTTTATTTTTAGCTCCAGCTGCTTGTCCACATCACAAAACAACCACATGATCAGTCATCAGAACTGTCACTTTCTGTCAAGGGCAAAGCCTGTGTGCAGAGGAAGAAATAAGCTAAGCCTCAGGACCTGAGAAAAGCCCCTTGGCTGCAGTTGCTGAGACTGCTGCAGGATGCAGCAAAAGACATCATTAAATCAGATGAGATGAGGCTAGCAGCCACCCTGAGCAATCAGCTGCCTGGTACTGGCTTAAGGCAGGAGCAACTATACCTATGGCAACCCACTTACATTTGCCCAGCCTGCACCTAAAACTCTCCAGTAACATGAATCAAAACCTCCCCAGACCATCTGCACTGGCATTTCACTGCTTTGCCACTAGATCTGGCTTTTTTCATGTTTAGGTGAATTTAAACCCATGACTGCTTGTCCTGTTTTCAGCACTCTTTAAGAAACTAGAAGATCAGTTCTACAACTCTTCCTGACCTGCCTTTTCCAGATTTTTTTCTAACCTACAGACTTACCCCTTGGGTTGCATCTGCTTGGCCACTAGTCCTTGTAGATTCCTACTGGACTTGCCCCAGTTTCATCAAACCTTTCTCAAGACGCATCGTCCCAGACTGAGTACAGCACTACAGATAAGATTCTGTTTCATTGTCATGTTGATACATCCTCAAGCACACTCTCTGGAGCTCTGTACTGATGGTACCTGCCTACACAGCGCTCAGCTCTTGCTGCTGATAAAATCTTTCAAATTCACCTCTAAAGTAAGGGCAAGCAGCAGCTCATTTCCTAATGCCACAGCAAATCTGCTCAGCTCCCCATTATCTGCTGCAGGATTATCTAGTTTCAGCATTAATCGTGTCCTGTAGACAAAGACAACAGAGCTGGTTCCTTACATGCAATTCAACTCAATGACAAAGTTCATTAGCACACACAGGGTACCACGTAGCTGCAGCTACACATCTGGCGTAACCTTCACAAGCAAGTTGGGAATAAACATTGCTCACTAACTCAGATTCAACATTGGCCTTGTAGTATTGGAGTCAGTGCTGTGCCAATTTGCTTTGGCATCGCTGAATTTTTTTCTGCAGCTACCAGCTCCAGAACTCACCAGATCAAGAACAGATCTATTAGACAGACATATTATTTCTGATGTGCAGAAAATTAACTCAGATACCCAAGGTATCTGACCTACTCATTGCTATGGAAAATGGCAAGCCAGTACAGCAAATTCTGCCACGTCCATCAAAACGAGGAAACTTTTAGAAGAGAATTTCATAGGACAATATTATAACACTACTCAAATGAATTTCATCTGCTCTACTACAGATGTGTGCAGATAAAAGCAAACTATAGGATACAACACACTTCTACTTACAGACACTCGTCCATTGCCTGAATCTCACCACTTTATGTTCTTCTCTAGAAACAGCACAACTGGCAGGGCTGCTACTATTCTTAAGGTGGGGTATTGTGTGTATCAGGTGTGCAAGGAGGTGTGAGAAGGATCCCAGCACATGTGGATATGAAAGGGTGAAAAATGTAAGTGGCAATTTCCCAGATTTGTAGTGATTGAGCTGACAGTATCTGCAGTTAAGCAACCTTGACTCCAAGTTAATAGGGTTTTTGATTGGGAGGTAATTTCCAGGTTTTTTTAGGAGTTTATATCAGTGCTGATAGTCATTTACATGAATAGTGATAATGCACTATCCTTCTCATGTCTTCCCATTAAACCTTTATACTTTCTGTACCTTATCCCAACCTCCTTGACGGTTTTCTATACAGCTGCATTCAACAGTTTTTTTAAGAAAAGGACAACACACTAATGTTTCCCCAGCCTTAAACAGTGAATATTTAGGTATTAAAATATTATACAAAATTTAAGCAGCCCATGACACGTGAATCTGGGAAATTAAATTTAGCCACTATAAAACATATTGCAGAATGAATCCTGGCTTTTTCTAGATCAGCTATCAATGCAGAAATTCCTACAGAGCTGCCAGGGGTTGCCCAGCACTGCTGTACTATCAATGGTGCAAGTGATTTCAACATAGAAAGGTACTGAGGGGAAGCAAGGGTACACACTGGGGAAGGACACACAGGACCTACCTCGCTGGCAGAGATTGGTGACTGGTCAATGCCCCTGTTGACAGACTCCCAAGATCTGGCAGTCAGCATGCAGGCAAAGAGAGGATACAAATCCCCTGCCCCAAGCTGCCGGCTGTACTTCTGCACGCTCCTCATATCGGCCTTGATGAGGGCCTGCCAAAGGCGGCAGTAGTCCATGCGGAATGACTCGCTCAGCACCTGGGAAGGGAGACATGGTTCCCAGAAGCCCACAGAGGACAGGAAATAGGAGGAAAAGTCTTCTATCCCTTACCTTTGCCCTATTCTCCATTTCAGAATCAAAAAATATCATTAGAGGATTATGGAAGTATTAGGAAAAACTTATTCATATGTGCTTAGAGGGGCAAAGCTGCAGCTGATGCCCAAAGGCAGCCTCACAAGGCCCCAGAAGCCCCTCAAACCTATGTACCTGGTAGAGCCCATGATCCAGGAGGATAATGTGAGCCTTGCCAGAGGCTGGGCACTTCTTCACTAGCACATTGCCTGGGTGTGGGTCACAGTGCACAAAGCCATTCACAAAGATCATTTCGCTGTAGAGCTTCCCCAGGTTGCGAGAGATCTGTGAAGAGACAAGAGGTGGTCACGCACTGCCACCCACAGTAGGGTGCCTGCCAGGGAGGGGAGGCAGCCTCTGTGTGACAACCCAGGAAGCAAGGATCTGTATATGCTCATATCCCCATGCAGAGCTCCTGCAGTTCCTCACACTGATGGAGGCACATGGTGGCTGCTGGCATCTGCAGGTAGCAGGGTGGTGCAGGGCATTCAGGGAACATCAGGAAGGTGTTTGTGGGATCACAGGTTATTTAAAGACACTTATCTAGCATACTTGTGGATAGGAATGGGGATTCTGGTAATGAGGAGGAAAGTGGGACAGCAGATAGTGGCAGACAGGCATTCACAGGGAAGGCAGGGAAATTGCTGCTGAGGTGGGTGAGACTGCTTAGAAGAAGACTCAGGTGTTTCCATCCATGAATGGCAGCAGGACACAATGGAGAAGGGGTGAGGGGAGAATCAGCCAGTCAGTCTGCCCACCAGCATGAATACGGGTTCCGTCTCCCCTCCCTCCATCACACTGTCCCCCACTTTCCTTCTTCCTTTCTTCAGACCCATGCTAATCTGATTTGCAATGTCTGTGGAGATGAAGAAGCACAGAAAAGCTGTTTGAAAGATCCTGTCACTGCTGTGTCCCTCCATACTACTGTTCTTTATCACCAAGAGATGTTATTAAAGTTACAAACCTCCTTGGAGAAAGCAAACATCCCCAGGGCATGAGATCAATCCCCTGTCATGCACTAACACAGCAGCCTTGCCCTGCCATCTCACCACCAGCCCTCCCTGCCATCCCAAGAGGTGCAGTGCTCCCAGCAGAGTGCTGAACAAGCAATTAAAAGACAGTTGTTATAAATTATTCCAAGCATATCTCCAGACACACTCTGTAAGCAGCAAACTGGCAGCTGTCCCCATAAGCAGAGGTGGTAGAAGAGGTAACAGGGATAGTAATGACAGCTCATCCTGCAGAAAACCAGACAGATAACAAAGGGCTTGCTTTACCCACCTCTGAAATGTGGCCACTTGAGAAAAGCATTCACTATGATTAGTGACCAAGTAACTACAAATGAGGAAAAAGAACAAGAACCCTTCCTGCAGCATACCAACAGGGACAGTGGTAGGATCAGGTGAAACCATCCTCTGTCCCTCAGGTGGGACCTGGAACCACTACTGAATCATATGAATGCTGGCCCACCCCATGGTGAATCACCCACACAGACAGAACAGCACAGTCCTGTGATCTCCTGTAGTGCAGCTTCCCCAACACCATGCAGGTGTTATTTTAAGTACTGACTAAGAGGAGTGATGCTTCCCTTCTGAATCACCAGCAGAGATCACCAGAGCCATGAAGTGACTGTTACAAGTCTCTTTGATTGGCAAGCTCTAAAATTAGACAGGACCAAAGTACCAGGTGCTGTGATCTCATATGAGTTGAGTAGCCCTTGCTGACAGTCCAAGGACATGCCAAATAGTCTGTTTTAAACCCATCATGTAACTCATTCACAAAGCCTCCTAGGGACCCATATACCAGAAGGAATGGACTCAGACATTATGACTGATCACAGCATCAACCCTGACACTGGTGCACACACTGGGCTAACCACATTCGGCCCTCACTGTCTCAGCTGCTTGTCCTCCAAGAGCATGGAAAACCACAGAATTTTAGAAGATGAGGACTTGGGGACAATCTAGGGCCCAACGCGATGCCTCGTACCCATTGAACACAAGTCCAGACAAGGGCTGGCAGTTCTGCAAACCTATTGATTGGTCATGGCTGAAGGGGTATGCAATCTCCATCCTTAGAGGTTTTAACGACCTGACTGGCTAACAGTTATGAGGTGAGACCTCATAACTGACCCTGCCCTAGAAGGAGATTTGATAGAAACCTACCCGAGGTTCCCTTCCAAACCCAAATATCCTAGGATCCTACAAAAACACGTCTCACCAGGTTATCCATGCCACCCTCATTAACAGTATCTTCTGATATGGCAGAGCAAGTTCCAGATGCAGAGATGGTCCCCCCTCCTGAGTCACCATCAACAGAAAAGCAACTAAATAGATCTCTGGTCATAGCCTCTTGCAGCCCATAATGCAACACAAAAGCAGCTTGAGCTCCATCTTCCCATCCTCCCATGAAAATAGAGGGGTCATAGTTCTGCTCAGACTCACAGGCTGGGTCATGGGTATAAGACAATGTTCACCGCAAGATCCTCATCCTCTCGCTCTACCCTGCTGTTCTTATATTTACCTATTCTTCAACATACAACCTTGAGTATCTCCAGTATCTTCAACTAAGCTTTATGACTTCTTTAAGACATATGAATGTATTCTGTACTATTTCATTAGCATATAGAAGATATATTACAGGGATTTATGATGCAAGCATATATACAGTCTTCACTTTCAGAAAAAATTTACCATGGAGCTGTGGTGCATAATAATGTATTTTCACATAATTTTGTCTGTTGTCATACCTCTAAAATAGGATACAAAATAAATTAAGATAGAAAGCAACAATACTATCAAATTCTAAACAAAATAGGAAGCTTTACAGTCTAGGTCTTAAAGTGTAGTATGTGAATAGTGACCTATCATCATAATTCAGACAAAGGAAGTCAACATTTCTTCAGAAAAAGTTTAGGAAAAAAAACACAAAACCTTTATATACATTAATTCTTCAGTAGTGTGCCTTGTCACTTCAGGCCCTTATTCCACCCTTATTGAGAAGGCCACTGGATAAATAATAAGTACAGAATTCACTTTGGAAGAACACAGCTAGGTAAAATGAGAAAACAGACTTATGAAAACCTCTGCTCAGGAGAAGGGAGGAATTCAACATGCATTTAGGCTATGTAAGACCTCAGGGTGAAGGTGCATCACAAATTAGAAAAAAGGTTGCAATGATTTACAGAAGCAAAGACCATAGTTAACACACAGGCTTTTTGTTATGACACAGAGAGGTCATCAGTCCTTTCCCTGTTTATTCATCCAACAAAACAAGGTCTTTATCATTACCAGTGTTCCCCAGCATAGTTCTGCTGCACACTGTAAAAAAATAATAATCAGTCTTGGAATTCTGCATTCACTTCCAGATACCTCATTAACTCAAGAGATGCAGACTACACAGAGGGAGTTCAGAGAAAGCAAATAAATGAGTAGGATGCAGGAGGCATTTACTTGGGATAAAGATTAAAAAAGCTGAAGATTCCGAAGTTAGCTAAGGAATGACAGAGGAAGAACAGTCTACCAGTTAGGAGGTTTGAATAGCAAGGAAGCATAAGTACCTCTTGTTCTGTATATGCTACAAGATATACAACCAGGAAAAAGCAGGTGTAATCATGAATGGCATAATTTAGGTGTAAACATAAGAACAAAAACTACATTGATCTGCAAGCAGAGTTTAGCTTGATATATCAGGATGACATCAGGCTCTGGGTCTGGCCAGAGGCATGTCCCTGCCTATTGCTGCCAGGTGTGTTATTGCCTAAAAGAAGTTAAATTTGCCTGTCTGTGGTGCAGCAGAACATGATGACTACAGTCACCAAGTGAGCCTGTGGTCTTACCAGTCAATGCAAATACCAGCCTGCCATTGCCAAATTATGTGACACCATGTCAGGCAAATCATGCATTTTCAGCCCAATGTTTTCATTTTGAAAAAAACGGACCTGAGGAATAAACAGATGGCTGACAACAATCAAGCAATGGAGTGACAGATACATGTATAACAGCCGAACTTCAGAGCAACATAAGCACATGAAGTGCTTTTTACCTACTCAATCTGACTTTTCACTTGACATTGCTCCTTTTTATTCCTTTTTACCACTTCAGTCCTCAAGGCCAACAAGTGCTATTGTTACTCTGGTCCTCTTCTGTGGTAAGCACATTTCTCTCTCTCTCAGGATTTTTCATAGAAGTACACAGAGAGAAAGAAAGAGAAAACAATTTCTATTTCTGCTCCTCGTTTTTCCTATGTGGAATGTGTTTGGAGAATTGTTTACCTGGGGTGATTGCTTGATTGGATTCTGGTGAGAATTGTTTGAGCCTGATGGCCAATCAGATCCACCTGTGTCTGGACTCTCGCGAACAGGGTCATGAGTTGTAGTTAGATATGGTAGTTAGAGAAAGTAGACATGTAGTTTTAGTATCTCCTTTAAATAGTATATTAATGTATTATAGCATAGTTATACTAAATAAATCATTCAGCCTTCTGAACTGGAGTCAGCCATCATCATTTCTTCCCACTGAGTTCACCTGCATTTACAATACTCCTCTACAATGGCAGATATCCCAGCTTGGTGTCATCAACAATCTCCTTGATACAGTTCTGTTTGTGTTGAGGTCATCACCAACCTGTTTAATGAGATCTGTTTGAAGAGCAAATCGCATTGCTTCTGTGAGTTTCTTACCTACTTTTCAATTTCCCTACTAATCCCCACTTTTTCTCATTAATGGAGTCATATCCACTGTACCAAGTATTTTAGCAAGTACACCTACTGCATTTCTGTCAACTAACTCAGAGGATCCCAAGCTGTAGAGCAGGTACCAGCAGTGATATATGTATTCAGCCACAATATGTTGCTGCTATCAGTTTTGAAAGCCTAGACAACCTGTCACTCTTGACCCTCTATGCAACTCTCCCCCTCAACCAATCGGCACACCCGCTGACAGAGCAATGTGACAGTAACAAAACTCTAGAAGGTTCATTACAAGTGAGTATCTTTAAAAACACCAACACACAAGAGTTAGCAGGAAACCTCTCAGAAAAGAAAGAATGAATGCAAATTTGAGTTTGAGTATTCCTACAGTGAAAAGCACATACATCATGCTCATGGATAGCATGACATAATGCAACATAACAAACCAGCCTGGGTTATCTAGGGAAAGTCACTGATACTCTCCTGGGCTTGTGAGCAATCTGGAGTGGTTCTGGTTCTATGACTCTAGCTGAC